GCCTTTGTTTACAAACACAAGAACCGTAAAACACGCGAAGTTCTTACCTCAAAATGCCAGTTTACAGAGGTTAGATACTGATTTGCCTGATCAGTACGGCAGCCGGTAACGTAAACGAACTGATTAATCATAACTTGTTGTTTCAAAGTGTCCATTTTTTCGATAAATTTGATGATGTTTTTGTCCGAGTTGAGCCTAGCTGGATGTTGTGTGTGTATGCAAACGAGCTCTAGCTCGTAGTTTAGTGGGTAATTTAAATTATGTTAATGAGAGAGATGTACCGTATTTTATTTATTTTTTTTTATTTTAGTTTGAAAATTTTTTTGTAGAAAATTTTTTTAAAATTTTTTTTTATTTAATTTTTATTTAATTTTTTACAAAAATATAGTTAAAAAATCAATCTAATTAGCTTAGATCGTTGGCTTATTTGCAAAATTGCATGGGTTTGAACGGGAAAGCTATAAAAAATATTATTTGACTTAATATGTCTAAAACAATTTAGTAATTCTATTTAATTTTAATAGAATTGTGTATTATTAAATTATTTTTGTCAATTTGAATAAAAAAATTGCTTTTTGTCTTTTTGTCCAGTGAAATAAAGTGGCTTACAGAAACCATAGGTTGGCTTACTAGGATTGAACTATAGTAACTCTTTTTTTTACCATATTCGATCATGTTGAACTACTGTACAGTCAATTAACCAAAGACAATCAACCACTGAATCAATAAATCAACCAACCATCCATCCAACAAACCAACCAACTAACCAACAAACCGACCAACCAACCAACCATTCAATAATCCATTCAATAAACTAATCAACCAACCAATCGACTAATCAATTAATCAATCAACACTGAACAAACGAATTGTGAAAATAAAACGAAAAAAAAAGTAATTTCAAAGTTTGCCGAAGCGTAAACATTTAATCGTACATATCTACAAACTATTTTGAGATTTTAGTAAGGAAAGAAAAACACAACAGCCTCTTTTATTTGATATCAATCAAAAATGAAAAATGACGTAAAATTAAAATTTAAAAAATGTCAATTTTTTAAAAAATTCGGATTTTTAAACAAACAAATAATTCTCGGAAAATAATTCACGTAACATTAACATTTAGTAAAAACAGTTCACAGCATATCACAATGACTAAATCAACATACCAAACAGATTTATACATGCAAAATATATCAGGATATATCCAAAAATTATGTAACCAAGATAAAAAAAAACTAGAAAACTGTCAACATTTTACAAATAAATAAATAAACATTATTGGAAAGATTGTTCAAAAAGATAAAACTCAAGACGACGACGACGAAAAAAATAGTTTGTTTTGTTGGTGTGGTGTTGTGAAACAAAAACAAACAAGCAAACACATCACAAAAAATTAGTAAAAAGTCGCAAGAATAGTAGTCAGTCACCTATCTACGATTAAATTACTCTCAGGGCCCTAGCTTACTTATAATGATTAACTCAACTCACCCACCCACAAATCTGTATTTCTGCGTTTTAGGAATTTTACAGGTTTCAGGTATTTTGTTTTACGTATTTTAGCGTTTTTATTTTACTTGAAACTTTTTAACTAATGTTATGCCCTAGCCTACCTACGATTGTTCAACTCATCTCAATCCTTAACTTACCTATGAATTAAATTAAGTCCGGTAAAGAAATTAGAAAGTTGAAGAGAAACAACAACAACGACACCGAATGAATGAATGTTGTGTATGTGTGTGTTGTATTGATGTGTGCGTGTAAATGTGCGGGCGTGTACTCTCCAGAAACTTCTTCACTCACTACGGACGAACCTCCATTGCACCGACCATCATCTGACACGCATCGATGGAATGAACGTGACCGGAACAGAAAACCACTAAATTGAAAAAAAATTGATTCTTTAAAATAAAAAACAAACCATTGAAAAAAAATAGGCAACCTATCTTTTTGAGATAACGCTCAATCCTTTGTTCAAATTCGAGTACTTTTAAAGATCATCATGAGACCACCATCTGAAACGTGCTGACGCCCACCACTGCCCACCTCTCATCATTCTGTAGACAAATTTTTTTATTAGCGTAGTAGTAAATGAATGTTCGAACGAAGGAACAAACGAATAAATGATTGGTTGAATGATTAAGTGAATGAATGAATGAATTAATCAATAAATCAACAAATGAATATAATGAAACAATCAATCAATTAATGGATGAATAATTTGAAAGATTGAATGAGAAAATGAATGAATGAGAAAAATAAAAAAAAAACTAAACTAAACCTTACTTCAAAAATCGTCGTTACTGTAATCCATTGCACCGACCACCACCATTTGGTCGGCACACAAGATGTCATCCGAACTTCAAAGTATCAGTCGAACAGCCAACGCGCTGATTCTTCCTACACCACCATCATTATACGTAAATCATCATGAGACCACCATCTGAAACGTGCTGACGCCCACCACTGCCCACCTCTCATTATTCTGTAGACAATTTTTTTATTAGCGTAGTAGTAGAATGAATGTTAGAATCTTAGAAGCAAAAAATTATAAAATGGAAATAATGACAAATAAATAATATCTGAAAATAATAAAGAGATTAAAATGAAAAAAAACTTACCGTCGTTCATTCGACAAAGGCAGAATGTTGAATGCTTTCTGGTTCCTACGTTGTCCTCAAAACTGGTGCCAGTCCTCCTCGAGATTGTTGTTGAAACACAGCCCGTGTTGATGGAGAAAGTGAAAATTCTCATCAGAAAGCTTAGCGGTGCTTGCATCTCAAATTGCTTAATAAAAATAATTCTATCTACCTATTCAATTACCTTAACTAATCTATTAATTGTTAATGGTACGATAGTCGAAAGTCCCCCTTCATTCTCCTTCCTTGCACAGAGGTTCACCGACAGCCAGGGCACCGGATAGTAAACCATTGCCGTGCGGATAGTAGACTATTGCTGTGCGGATAGTAAACCATTTGCCGTCCGGAAGCCGTGCGGGTAGTAGACTATGGCCATGCCGCATAGTAAATCATTACCGTGCAGATAGTAAACCATTGCCGTCCGGATAGTAAACCATTGCCGGTTCACCACTGGCCACCAAGGCTTACCTCTGACAAGAGACTTCGAAATTCAGAGTCTATCGGCTATCGTACCCTCAACTTACCTATTCATTACAATTAAGCCCTAGCTTACCTAAAATTACAAAACTCAAGAGCCCAATTCATTGGCCAATCGGCACCCACCCCACCACCTACGTAATGCCTTGGGCTCCAACTTAGTAATAATAATATAAAACTTAAACCCTAAACTTATTAATGAGTATGTTACAACGTACCTTAACTTACCTATTCATTACACTAGGGCCCTAGCTTACCTAAAATTACAAAACTCAAGAGCCCAATTCATTGGCCAATCGGCACCCACCCCACCACCTACGTAATGCCTTGGGCTCCAACCTTATAATAATAATGTAAAACTTATAATTAACCTACCTATCTATACACTTACAGCGTTTTATTTTACATTACAAAATTGTTCCTAGAATTACATTATTGCCCTTAACTACCTATGAAATTAAATTACTCTCAACCTTAGTAATAATAAATTAGAATGTGTAATGAAAATAAAATTACGCTCAAATACTAACATATGTGTTTATTTATGTATTTGTGTGTGTGTGTGTGTGTGTAATACGCTGATGCGTGTAATGTTGGTGCAAGAAAAAAATAGAAGCGATAAACTTACGAGCCTACCTATTCAACTACATTAGTGTTGGATGCTTCCTATCTATCCTACCTACAATTAAAATTATGCTTATCTAACCTACCTATATAGCTACGTAATGTAATTGTGTGTGAGTGTGTGTGCGTGAGCATTCTTACTTAATGTTAAATTACAGAGAAAAAATAATAAAACGTATCCCAGCCAGGCGTATATTCTTTTCCACTGAATGAACGAACGTTCCATGATGAACTCCTCTGGAAGCTTCAACCTGAGTGAAATGAATAAAATGAAAAAATCTTATTTACTTAATTAATTTAAATGAAAATAGAGAAACGAGCCGCGGTGAAACCCGCCAGCCGGAAAAGCCAGTCAACTGGCAAACATGAACCGCAAAGAAACCGTAAAACTAACTCCAGCCAGGCGTGCATTCTTTGCCACTAAATGAACGAACGTAGCGTGACATCACAAACATTCTGTTCTTTCACGATGAACTCCTGGAAGCTTCAACCTAAATGAATGAACCTGAATGAACCTAAATGAATGGAAAAATCTTATTTAATTAATTTAAATGAAAGTAGAGAAACGCAAAGGAGCCGACCGGTCGGCAAAGAAAAAAACCTCAAAGAAAGGTATCTATATAGGATTTATGCTCTATATAACTCTATATAACTCTATATAACTCTATATAACTCTATATAACTCTATATAACTCTATATAACTCTATATAACTCTATATAACTCTATATAACTCTATATAACTCTATATAACTCTATATAACTCTATATAACTCTATATAACTCTATATAACTCTATATAACTCTATATAACTCTATATAACTCTATATAACTCTATATAACTCTATATAACTCTATATAACTCTATATAACTCTATATAACTCTATATAACTCTATATAACTCTATATAACTCTATATAACTCTATATAACTCTATATAACTCTATATAACTCTATATAACTCTATATAACTCTATATAACTCTATATAACTCTATATAACTCTATATAACTCTATATAACTCTATATAACTCTATATAACTCTATATAACCATGCATACTACCACATTCAATCAATAAAAATCCCACTAAAACCAGGAACCACCGCGTACCTGTTGAAAGTATGATGTGAAACAAAACAAAAAAAAACACAAAACGATAAACACACCACCAAGTAGAGTAAAATAATAGAAGTCCCTAACTTACCTATTTAACTAAACTACCTTATGCCCTAGCCTACCTATGCAATAAATTAATTTTTAATCTCACCTACCTATGTTTCATTAACTTAACTCAAGACTCATGAAGAAAGAGAAAAAGGAATAAAACAGAACATAAAATACTACCACACAAACAAACATGATGTATGTATGTATGTATGAGCCACCGCTAAAGAACCCACCTAAAATATAAAAAAATACAACAATCACACAAACCACAGGCAACATACAAACTCTATATAACTCTATATAACTCTACATAACTATATAACTCTATATAATAAAATAAATAAAAAATAAAAAATTATAAAAATAAAATAAATGAGATCAGGCAGACTGCTTCAAGCCTCAAGCGAGGCAGAATGCCTGATCTGATTTTCATGCTGTCTCAGCTCCTATTTATACTCGTTTCAACCATACATTTTCATCATTTCAATCTTTCACATCAGTAAAAAACCTTATTTAATGCATGTACTACACTATTATACAGTATTAACAACAATGCTAACCGTCCGTACTAAATTGACGTCATCGAACGAACGCCTTCGAAACTTTCTGATTGGCTGGTTGAATCTGCTATATATTGCTTTTAATATAAACATATGTTCTTAATAATTATTTGTATACATGTATTGTTGTTACTTTACAGTTCAAATTTTTCGAGGAGAATTCAAAATAGTTTGAGACCACACCTTGCTTAACATCCAATTTCAAACCGAGCCGAGCCGAGCCGAGCCGAGCTAAGCCAAGCCAAGCCAAGCCAAGCCAAGATGCGTAGATTTATAAGCGCTTTGATATTAAAGTTTTTTAGTTTTGCCTGTATATCGAATAGGAATCGAATATAAGTTTTATACCGGCTAATTCACAACCAAGCAGTTAAATAGCCACTGTTAACATGACGTCATTTCCTCCAACGATTTCGCGACGAATTACCAATCCTATTTTATAAGTTTTATTTGATGTTTTTTAATCAGTCAGGTCACAATCATCATCATCATCGATATCGCTATGAAATCAAATTGAGAATTTTCAAAATTTTTGGAAAAAGTATTTTTATTCATTTTATGATACTACTTTGTTCAATAAGATACTGTTTGATACTGTACTATCAATTAACCAGTCGATTAACAAATGAATCAATCAACCACTGAATCAAATCAACAGACCGAAACAATCAACCAATCATTTAACTAACCAATTAAACAATCAATTAATTAACCAATAAACCTTGAATTATGTTATTTAATTAGATTGCTTTAAAAATATTTAGTCAAGATTAACTCCTCGTAAAAACCATGCAATTTCGTAAGTAAGATTCTTATATTTATACTTCTTTACCACTATCTAATCTCAATAGTATTCTTCATCTATATCTCTGTCTTTCTTCAATTATTGCTTTGATTCTATGTATCTTAAACTTAATCCTTTTAAATTTAAATTAATTTGTTTTAATAAATCTGTAAACACTCTATTACTATTTCTTCTATTATCTTACCTGATTCTAAAACTCTTGATGTTTCTCACAAGTTTCGTAGTCTAGGCTTTATCTTTCATTCTAGCATGTCTCTTTCTTCTCAGATTAATTTTGTTGCTAGAAGGTCTTACCTTCATTTACGTAGAATAAAAATTGTGAATTTGGAGTTCTTGGGTTTTTAATGGTACTAGTGAACGATAATAAATTTTGTAACAAAAATTTGTTTAATTTTTACTGCAATTTTTAAAATAAAGTACTGAAAAATGAATTCGCAGCTGGTTGTTGTGGCTATCGATCATTCTGTTCAGTCACAAAATGCCGTCAAATGTTAGTAGAACGTCATTTTTAGGCTTTCTTTCCTTCCTAATTGCTAATAATGGCATGCTAATCTCTAATTGCTAATCTAATCAATTGCTAATCCTATCCTAGAAGAAGTAGAACCTCTTCTAGATCATTGGATGATGAAGCAAGCAAGATGATTTTTGTAACCTTTTGTGACTCAATTTCAATCAGTTAACATTAGTTTTATTTTATTTTTATTTACTTTTAATTTTAAGTTAATAATGTTTTAATAATGAAATTATATAAAAATTTTTGACTGGTAAATTTTATTTTTATTTATAGTTTATCTAGAGAAGATGCACAAACCTGGAAACAAGCTGATCCTGGTACACTGCATTGAGCTGCCAAACATCAACGAGGCCAGTAAGTGCGTTTTTTGTTCTTTTATTTATTTATTAAAATTTCTTGCTCTAGGTCAAGTTATCGTTGTCTTCATTTTTACTATTGCCATCTGTTGCTGATGTTAATATTGGGTTTTTTATCATTTTAATTTAAATATTTAAAAAAATGGTTTTCAGGAGAATGTAACATGTCTCCTGGTGTCCTGGCCAGCTTGTGGAAGGAGGAGGAAGCCAAAACAAAGATGCTAGAAGAAAACATGAAGGTACTGCTAAAAGACAAAAACATTTCAGCGAGGTTGCGAAATGTTCGTGGCAAACCCGGTGAAATGCTCTGTCACATAGCAGCTGAAGAAAAATCAGTCTGCATCATCATTGGCTGTCGAGG